CACACACACACACACACACATACATATACATACATAAGCGAAAGGGGAGCGGTTGTCGGAAGTTGTCGCAGGAGAATGAAGCGTTTGGAAAAATAGAGAAAAATAGAGATTAAAAGAAAAGAGAGAATACACACTTGTATTGTGCTGCGGATGGATTCTGCCGAGACTCGGGATATCCTTCGGCTCCTTGTCGACGGCATGCTCCCTCGTTTTAGCGACGACGGACGATATTTCGAAGCTACGTCTCCGTTTAAAGCGCGTTTAAACTTGTAACGTTTTTTACGTCGTATCATGTATCATAAAGTTACTAGTATAATGATACATCGAGATGTTATGATTACATTCGTCGCGATCGCAATTAAAGCTGACAGGTAAAAAATAAGTATAGGATCGAAAGTGATACGAATGCCTGTCACTTCTATTGGCGAAAATTAATTGAGTAAAGCAATTAATATATCGTGGATTGTTAAATATATTTTATTTCTTTTTATGTCGATTTTAATGTCAACAGTTAGATATAAAGTATATTGACAACAGATACATATACTCTTTAAAATTTTTAGAATAAATCTCTGAAGAGTGAAATTTCATTCTTAAAGTTTGAATATTGAGCCACTCTTTTTCTCAAGACTGGCTCAATTTTCCTCGCGGATTACGTTGATCTCTCTGACAATACGAGCTTACGTTACAAGTTTAGACGCGTTTTAGCGTCGCACAAAAGCCACCGACGGCGACGAACTAGACATCAAGGGAAGCGCTCAATAGTAATACTTCTCACAACTATAACGCGGCACTCGCCGTTGAGTTCCGATCGAGAGAATAACTCTTCTTCGGAGACAACTGGCCGGGATTCAGCGGTGATAGCTCGCGATCTTCCTTACGCAGGATATCTGTTTTCTTGCGCGCGCGGCCCGCAAGCTCTCCTTTTAACATATTAAATCCATAACGAATCCTTGTACCGGAAAAAAATGAGAGAGATCTCGCGTAACATTGTACTGTTTATCGTATGTATGCAACAAGTAAAAACAAAATATATGTGTTGATGTGAATAAATGCGTTTTTTTACTCCCGTAACCACCTCCTCCGCAATAAACTTCCATCATCAAACTACAGCTAGATTGTGTTTGATTTGTCTTAAATGCATTTAACCAGGGCTCGGTCTTACTTCAAATAAATTTATTTAAAATATATTTTTAATGAAATATTCTGTTCTAACATAAACAAATGAGCTTCACATGTATTTTTGATTCTAGAAGCTAAATTTCTCAATTGTACGAATACTTTTTGAGCATCCAAATAGAACCATAAAACGATACTTTTATGTCCTTGTTGTTGAATCTATTAAATTTTTCCGTGATGGTATGAATGGTACCGTAAACCATGCTGTTCGTTCCGATGAATTATCAGTATTAGATGATACTAAGCTCGGTTTTTTCTTTAAATTAAATTGAAACATGTAATTATTGTTAGATAATTGAGACATTTTATTATTATACCACCAAGACATTTGAAGGAATGATGTCATGAAATTATATTATATGTGTTTATTTTATATTTAAGTTTTATTAATTATTGACTCTTATATGCCCTTTACTTAGATTTTTATTTTTATTTGATAACAAGAGTCTTTATATATATTTATTTTTTTTAATGTATAATTCATAAAACGTTTTATTTAAAATTATATTATAACAAACGCATATAATAGACTCTAGATTTTTTATATTTAGGAGTTTTTTTTTAATTAAAAAATATTTTGAGAACATCAAAATTGTGATTAAATATTTTAAAAATATAAAAAATATACCTAACATTTTGCTATAAATATTTTTAAAAAAAGCCTAAGAGGGATTCCCCCCTATGTGTGGATCCGTCAATGTTTTGCGAAAATTGTTTGTTGATAATATCGCGAAATGAAATCTGACAGCGAAAGTTTACAGAAACATAATGTCTACATTTGTTATGTCCTCCTTTATTTCTTACGCTTTTACTACGTCGTCGAATATGACAAACGCGAAAATTAACCGTGACATGTCAATTTTCGTCACGTTTCTGTTACTCTCGTCGCAGCTTCATCCTTTCATTTTCTAAGATTAAAACGGTAGCGTGCCCCTCGTAGCCAATATTTGCGATCTAAATTTAAAGGTCACTGTGAAAGCGATCGATTTGGGTGAACGAGACGAAATTTTAGATATCTCTTATGCTCATTTATACCAATGTAGGTAAATTTTAATCATTTTAATTTACTCTTTACCTTTTTTTTTTTCAATTCTTAGAACTACACTGAGAGAAAAATGTATTAAATTTTAGTAAATATTTGTTTGAATAGTGCCAGTCGAATGTTTATTAAATGCAAATATATATATATATAGTACAAGAACCATTTGATTTAGCTATTATATTTTTTATTCAGCAGATATTTATTTAACGCAAATAAATATTATATTAGAACTATTTAAACAATTTATTACAATTTAGTACATTTTCTTTCAATATAGAAAAAATAAAGAGTTAATTAAATCGAGACACTGATAGAAACGGGTATTACATATAGATCTCAGCAATTGTACTTTTATTTCTGAGAGTATGTGAGAATCTGTTTAATATATACATATGCCATATACAGGGTGTCCATAAAAATCGTAACGTTTAAGGATAGATTCCTGAGATCATTCTGAACGAAAATGTCGAATATAATGATTCTTGAATTATACACTGAAAAACCCATTTAGTTGAATCAATCAAGGATTTGTTTACCCATATCCAAACAAGAAATTAATTGATGCAATAAAATAATTTAGTTAAAGCAAAGTATTTAGTTATTATAACATTTCACTTGTTTCTGATAGACATTGACATCTGATAAAGTTGTTTACAATAACCAAATGTTTGGCTTCAACTAAATTATTTTATTGTATCAACCAAGGATTTGTTTGCCAATATCCAAACAAGAAATTAATTGATTCAACTAAATGGGTTTTCCTCAGTGTCAGCATTTAAAATAATTAACGAATCGCCTAAAGTTTACGCGTTTAAGTGTGGTTGGCATTTGCCCATATCTGAGTGCGTAAGATGATACGATTCGCTAACTTTGAAAGCTTTTAATTTAAAAACTATATATATAAATTTAATTAAGTAACTATTATAATATCCAACTATTATAACAGTTATATACATGTATATACAACTTCGATATTTTGGTATTAGGGTTTTTGTTTGAAAATGATCTCAAGAATTTATCCTTAAACGTTGTTATGGTCTTTACGGTACACCCTGTATAGATACATATACGCCGGAAAATGTATACAGCGACCTTAAATCCGAACGTTCTGCCCGGGGTCCGTAGTCGAGGGGAGGGCGACGAGTCCTCCCGAACCATGAAAATCAATGCCAATATTCAGCTGGGTGGGATGAAGGAAGGAGAGCGGAACGAGGAACGTAACGTGGCGGAATATTGATCTGTGCACGTTCCAGACGACTCGGAAGGCACCATCTCCCCGCGCTGTTGTATATAGCATTGCGCGATGACTCCGCGCGCTTAAAGCGGATGAGGAGTAAATTATTCAACCCGCCCGTGATATATGCGACGAATGGACCGCGCGGCCATATAAAATCGATTCTTCTCAGATAGAACTATAATTACATGAAACGTGGCTCCTGAATCGTCTGTGCGAAATTGGATTAATCCAATGGAACCGGAAATGTAATTTTCTCTCTGCAGACATTGATTAAAAATGAAAAGGAAGGAAATGGATATTTCCGAAAAACTTCGTACTCGAAAAATCGCAATGATGATGCGAAAGATAATGGTGACGGAAAGATTTCGAATATATTTTAGATGCGGTATTAAAAAAAAAGAAACACGCGATGTCTGTGAAAAAATTATGCTCATCAGTCTAATTTATAAAAAGAAAAAAAAGCTTCTCTCTCTCTCTCTTTGTTTCTCTTTTTCACGCGAAATTCGCAAAATGGAGGACCGGTATTTCTCCTAGACGCACGCGGTCGGTTCTTCTCGTATCCGAGCTATCTTTCGCCTTTAAGGGTCAACATTCCCGACCATAACCGTGTGCATGAAGACCGTTATTATACGATAACTCGCTGTAACAGGGTGACGAAAGCCGCGCGCGATAGCGCATCGCGTAAATTACAGTCGCGGTGACTAACGCGAGTTGGCGACGATCACGCCTTTGTGATCGTGAGCCAGATAAAATTACGAGATATCGGAAGCCTCTCGCCACCCCACCCTGCAAACAAGCTGCGTTCCGCGTGCATGTTAATCGCCATGACTTTGAAGATTAGATACGTGCTTCGAAATGTGTGCAGTAAATGTTTTCAGACCACGTATTAGAATTTAGAGGTCGTGGCAGTTGACTCGAATTTCTTATACGATCGCAAATATTTTAGAAAACAATTTCAAAATGATGAAATATACACACACACATCTGTGGATTAAATAAATTATATTTATAAATATTAAGTTTTGATTTTAGTTCGCTCTCTCGAGAATCTTTGAATCTCCGTTTAATCTCCTCTTTGTTTTGTTAAAATTATATACGCGCTCAATAAAATTATTATTCTTATTATGAATTCGATTTAGCATTTTGTTTCTCAATGCTTGTTTAATAAAAATTTATACACACACACGTTTACCTAGTAATTGGCTCTTATAGGCATTATTTGTATTTAATCTCAATTAAATTGAAATAATCTCAATTTAATTGGATTCAATCATTTCAACTTCTGATTTTTAAAATATATATCTGTTTTATTTTATATTTTGTTTTCTTACGGATCTTGCAAGCAAAGAATTTTCCATTTCTATATGGTCACAGACATAGAAAATTCTTTGTGAATGCGTCGCTCGCAAGATCGAAAGATAAATCCGTAAGGAAATAAAATGTAAAATAAAACAATCATATAAGCTTTTAAAAATAGAAAAGTTGAAGTGAATGAATTTTGAATTAAATTGAAATTCTCGAGAGAACGAACAAAAAAAACACAACGAATTAAAAATTTATAAATATAACTTATTTAATTGATAAATGGATAATTCATAATTTCAAAATTATTCTCCGGGACTTTGATGACCGGATTTCAATCGAAATCGCATTTCTGAACGAATAAATGTCTCGCCTCACGGTCGGTGACCGTTCGTGGAACGCGAAAAGGCGCGAATGTTCGGTTGTGACACGGTGCGGTCGAACGTCGGTCCATCGTCTTTAAAGGACGTCGTACATTACGTACCTTTGACGTACTGTTATCGATCACGCGCGCTGGGAAGCGCGGTTAAAGCGGCCGAGGGCTTCTCGGGAGTCTAACGCGTGTATATCGGAAAGAGGATCGTTGACGTCATCCGACGTCCGACCGCATCCATCGGCCTTTTGCTAAATTAGTGTCCTCGCCGAGCGGCAGCCGAGACGCATCTTGCTTTGTTGTGGCGCACGCCCCGCGTGACATTTCCTTTGAAAAAATGCCAGCGCGATTTTCCCCGTGGACGCGTGGACGCCCCGAGGGAAGTCCGGAGGGCGCATTTCGCGCGATGACGCATAGAGTCGAGAGTGGCGATGAGACGCGAGGAACGGTCATCCGTGTGTAACGCGCGTGTTTCACGCGAGAGTTAGTCGCGCAGCAAAAAGCGCCGGCGTGTTATTCACAGGTCAAACGCTACGAGCGAGCAGGGTCGGCCGGGATATTATCCTTGCGTCGAGTATCGCGCGTTCCCTTTTTTTATTTTCCTTTTTATGGATTCTTCGCGAAATTTGCTATTTACAATGTCGGAATAATTTTTAAGTGTGAGGGACAACAATCGGCATCGGGCGAGGTGAGTTCCGAGCAGTTCCGAGTAATCCAACAGCCGGTAGCGACGACGAAAGTATTTGCGGTTGACTTCAACACGCAAATTTGGAAGCTCCCCTTTAAGGATCGATACTGTTGTCTATAGAAACGACGATTGCACCCGGCCGGGATAGCGGAAGGTTCGACGACGTAGCTGAACATAGCGCGGGAACTGCTTGATTTCCAATTGTAGTTGGGAAAGAGCTGGAACGAACGGGAGGGCGACCACCCCCGCATCAAAGAGAGAACGAAAGAGAGTCGGAGTGAGAGAGAGAGAGAGAGAGGGGGGGGGGGGGGGGAGGGGGAAGAGGGAGATTCTGAGCTTTATTATCGTCGGTCCTTGAACCCGCCTTTATGGCTCGAACGTAACGCCTACGTTCTTTCGTTCTCTCGTTTTCCCTAGCCGAGCTACAACGTTTTCAATTGACACCGATCGTTAAGGAAACAGTTATTTTCGTGTTTAGCTTGTACTTTAACTCGTGTTATCTTGTGCCTTTATATTTATTTGAATAAAATTATCTCCCTATAATTTTGCGACTACAGTGAGAGCAAAAAGTATTCGTACAAGAAATTTTTTTTATAAAAAACGTCTTATTTGTAAAAAATAAACATTAATTAGCAATTTTATACAATGAATATATTCTGTTCTAACGTAAGCAAACGAGCTTTGCATGTATTCCTGATTTTAGAAGCTAAATTTCTCAACTGTACGAATACTTTTTGAGGATTCAAACCGCATTTTTAATTTTCGCTTATTTTTCAGATGATATATTTTCTATAATTAATACACATCTTTTTGGTATATATAATTTTAAGAAACATACAGTCTATTGTTTTTTTTATGAATAAATTGTTAATTACCCAGCAAAAAATGATCGTCAATTAAACGTCGAATCGACGTCGAATTAGTGTTGAAATCATCGTATCGATATCGATTCGACATCAATTCGATGACTCATTCCTCGCTGGATAATATTTACTTTTTAAAAATAAAGTTTTTTTTAAAAAATCTTTTCTCTGTACGAATACTTTTTGCATTCACTGTATATATAGATAGAAATGAAGTCTTAGATATAGAAATATATATCAGATAATTAATAACTTTTTAATGTTCTCGATTATATAAACACAAAAAAAAATCCTATACTTGTCAAAGCTTTAATATCGAGTTTTAAATATTTATCTATTAAAAATAAAAATATACAATCCGACTTCTATGATAGTAAAAACTCGTTGTTAAAGCTTTGATAAGTATATCAGAATTTTTTTTAGATTTTTATATAATTTGGATCAATAAAAAAATTATTGTTTCCCGAAGACTCTTATTGCTGACGGAAGAATTAAAATTCTATGTTGTGAGCGGAGGATTAATATTATTTATATTATAATAATAATTGAGTATAGGAGTGTCATATATACACACACATATATATATATTTTTTTAAAAAGTTAATGTTTCATTTTTGTGTCGTGTTAAGAGTAATCATCCGTAGTTGTATGCGCAGTGTGTAATTCACGATTTTTTTTTTAAATCATGCTTATCTATTCATCATTGTTTATCTATTATAATTGGGATTAAACTCCACATACGTGCGAAATTCAAGGACGCTCATCGAGCTCATCGCTGCTTACCAATTGATGCATATTTTAAAGCGTACACTGGTGGACAATGTTAAGTCGCTATACATGCGGATATTTAGTTGTTAATGTTTCATTGTACGACATGCGACACATTATTGTCGCATGAGAAAGAACAGCTGCATTATTTTTTCACACTCTCGCTAACGCGACACGTAGTCGTAACTGGGTTGATAACTCCAATTATTTACATCTCTTACGGAAACTTTCTTAGTAACTGCAAAAGTTATCAAGCTTTGCTTCAGTTTGTTACATTTAAATAATTAATACGATAGATATCTAGTAAGTATCACACGTGTCGATATTTTCCTGAAGACGTTGACAATTGTTTTTTATTTTATCACTCTCCTACGATACAAATTTTAAACGCGTAAATATTTATATTAAACTTTCTGCAAAAGTTATCAAGCTCATCTTCGCTTTGCCACATTTAAATAATTAATACGATAGATATCTAGTAATTATCACACGTGTCCACATTTTCCTGTAGACATTGACAATTGTTCTTTACTTTATTATTCTTCTACGATACAAAGTTTAGTCGCGTAAACATTAAATTTTCTGAAAAAGTTATCAAGCTTATTATCTTCAGTTTGCTGCATTTAATACGATAATTAATACTACATGTATCTAGTAATTATCACACGTATCTACATTTTTCTGAAGACGTTGCGTTGATAATTGCTTTTTATCTTTTATCATTCTTCTACGATGCACATTTTATTCGTGTAAATATTAGCAATAATAATAATAATAATAATAATATGATGATGATGATGACGTAGAGAAAAGTGTTATTCCAGCTGAATATTTCTTTCTTATTACAGGGAAAATTCGAGTTCCCCAGAAACGTGCAACGACGGAGTCTGTTCTACGACGTCTCCAGGGGAGATGACTTCCGTTCGCACGTGTTATTGCAAACACGAGGAGAATGTAGCGCGCAGGAAGGATAATGATATCAGAATACACAATGCGAATCGACATCCTGTAACTGTCGTATCTAAAAAATCGATAGTCACGAATACAACTTGTGGAAGTAGCAGAGGGTCTTGTAAACGCGCGAGTCGCGTTATTAAAGAAAAAATTGTAATGAACATTCACAGTTTTATTTATCCAACGTTTAGTTATTCTATATGCGTTTTACGACAAAATTTTCTATCACAGCTTAATACGCACCGATCGGTAGAAGTGCAGCCTCCCAATTCCGTCTTGAGTCCCGAAACATCCACCGCTCTTGAAAATGCCGAGAAGATTGTTAACAATGCAAAGATACAACTCATGGAAGTCTGCGCAACGTCGAGTTTCGATTCCGCACGACAGCATAGAAATACGTGAGTAGAAAGGAAAATCTAATTTTTATAGAACATTCCATCTCATTTTATTTAGAAGTTACAATCGAGTCTCTTCTTTTGTAATTGCGATTTTTCTTACCATACAATTTGTTATACATATTTATATCGCCATTATCTGAAAACATCGATTTTAAAAGTTACTTGTTAATTTTAATTTGAATTATATATATACGAAAGAATGATTTTCTCAAGTATCTAAAAATTTAGACAAGTACAGGTGAAAATAATTTGACTGGACTATCAAAATAATTATGAAGGACTCAAACTAATTTCTAGAATGCTTAAAACTTTTTGCTCATTATGCTCGAGTTTCCTTCATAATTATTTTGATAGTCCAATAAAATCATTTTCTGATTTGTACTTACCTATTAAAATTTTTAGATACTTCATTAAAATCATTCTTTTCGTATACATACATACACGTATATTGTCCACAATGTTCAAATCGTATTTCGTTTCAATTTGCTGATCGATTAATATATTACAGAAGGAATTAAAACCATTATGACTTACAATATTTAAAAATTAATTTTTTATTTTAATTAATAATTTATGTCATTTAGTGTTTATGTAATTTATTACAGAACATTCATATCATTTATATTATGTGCATTTAGGTATTCGGACGAGCCGCCGTTGGACGACGAGATGGAAGAGCGGCTGTACGTTCGCGAGCTAGTGGCCTCCAAGTTTCAGGATGCATGTTCTTCAAAGTTATCGGAGGTGAACGGCAAGACAAGCGCACGTTCGCAGAAACGTGATTTTCCTCGTGTCACCGTTCGCAGGGTTGATTTGTCGGCGCCAAAATTTCGGATGTCGCGACGACGACGTGCCGACTGGTCATCTCTTGGATACGGAAGCGACAATCGGTCTCATGGACGTGCATCGCCTGCCCGAGTGCTGTCGAAGGACTCGATCAATAACGTGAACGTTGAGACGACAGCCCCCGACGATCATGCTCGCGATCGTCGGCGAATGTTGTCAGCACGAGGAAACGAGTGTGAAATCCAAATAGGACCATCGGTGCACATTGTTGACCGGGAGTTGGTCAAACAGGATCTGGAGGACGTGCACATCTCGCCAGAGCCGTATCCGGCGCAAAGCCGCGCGAATACGGCTACTTATATCCTATGCCATGATGTTATTCAAACAGTAATAAACATTTTGCATTTGTATTAGAAATGGTCTACTCAAATCCTTGTTAAACTCTTTGTTGAATTTTTTTAACATAAATTTATTGAAACATGTTAATTTAACATATCAGAATATTAATTTTAGTAAAGAAATATTTAATTGCTTATAAACTGTGATACTTTCTAACATATTCATCTTATATTCAGTCAAATACTTTTGACCAGTCTTGAAAAATCAAATACTTTTATCTTAAACATAGTATTTTAATATAATTGTATTTCAATATTTTAAATCAAACGATTAAAAATATTTTGTATTTCAAATACAGGGTGGGCCATCTATTGGTACGTTTTTAAAAATGCGATCAAATGAGCATACATTGATATTTTTTATTAATTTTTTTTAGAGGGAGCCACATGAATTTTTAAAAACGTACCAATAGATGGCCCACTCTGTAAAAACGTACCAATAGATGGCCCACCCTGTACTAAAATTGGCAATCAATTTTATTATTTGAATTACAAAATAAAAATACTTTCAATTTTTCGATTTAAAATAACATATATAAAATACAATTATATTACAATTATATGTATTTAAAATGAAAATATTTGAAAATACACGCCCAATCCTACTTGTGTTAAATTAACAGTAAAGTTTGAGTGGACCGTTTGAGACATGTGAAATGTGTTAAATTTAACACAAATTTTTTAACTGTGCAGAATGCGGATAATAGAATGATCGACCCGGAAGTATCAGGGACGCCGAGAACACGGCGTGTGAGATTGGACACGTTACAACGAGGGAAACCGATTGAGAAGACGATTATCGAAGCTGCGACCGAAACAAAACCAGTAACTCTTGTAAGCAAGTTGGAAAAGGAGTTTGAAGATGCCAAGAATTCTGATGCTGGACAAGATGTCGAACGAATTCAATCCCCGAAAATCCGAAATTATACACAAGAGAAAAAGGATCCCGACCCGCAAGATGTCGAAAGGACACCTGAACGTTTAAGAAACACGACGAGTCAAGGAGCGATTAAGTTCGCAGTGGTTGAAACTCCACAGATTGATAGAAATGAAAAATTGCACAAAGCGAGAAACGAGAACCACGAGGGAATTCTTTTTTTATCCTCCGCCGGCGGTGATACGCAAATTCGTTACGCGGAGGATGACGGAATATTCTGTAAGAGAAGTGCTGACCATCAGCGAAACGTCGAAAACATTGTAGATAAGATCCAGGTGGAGGAAAACCGAAGCGATCGATCAAAGCCGTCGCCTGGCGACGACATCTCAAGGACAGCGAGTTTTTCTCGACAGCGCGAAAATATCGCTTCGCGTTATCGACAGGCAGAAAGTTCGAGACATCATCGGACGATTGATAGACACTTTTCGCACACATTCAATAGTCATAACGGACAAGATGGGCTGTGCGTCACTAGTGAAGACATACAACGTCCATCTTTCGCTTCAGGCTATACGGACGTTTTCCGAGAAACAATTTTTGCGGAGGACAATTTGGATGATATCGATTTGTATCGACCGTGTCTTGATGACTTGGATTCAATCCTGCATTCCAACGACAGGAAAATCGAACATGTCACTCGAGTGACCAGAAATCTTAAGGAATTATTATCAGACTCCAAATTCGCGATATACAAGCTGGATGAAGACGAGCTAGTGTCTCAAGACGCGGTGAAATTTTGTCGGAACTCGCTAAACGATAAAGATGGCGAGTATCCATTATTGAACGAGGCGTCGAACAAGGCGGCTCGATCGTCATTTTTGGAGACTGAATTAAGAAACGAGGATCTGACCGTCTCAAAAGTACATCGAACCGACGATCTGCAGGCAGCAAATGCGGCGGGGACGAAATCGTCGACTTTCACGAAGGAAGACGGTTCTCGCAGTAATTACTCGAAGAACTCCGTCGAATCTAGCGTGTTTCCTGCATCAGATGCGAATGACAGCCCCAGGACATCTCGCGACAGCGATAGAACTCAACGGTCGGCGACCAAAGCGTACTTATCGGAATCGTCGATGGACAGATCGGATGCCACGACATTTTCCAACCTGGTACCAACGTTATCCAGCACACACACGGAGGCTCCGTGTCGTCATCAGAAGAAGGAAGTCGCCCGGGATGATCGTCACAAAGTCACGTCTGCGAGGAAATTCTCGGAGCACAAGATCCGTCGTTCTGGAAAGGAATACACCGATGACAGAATTTTCGCGCGGTTTTTCCGGAAAGACACGTCCCAAGCGATAGATCGGTTTCTTGCCTACATCCTGCAGGATGAAAAACGGAGCATCGAAGGAAAGATTGCGAGCGCCTTGAAGGAGTCAGCGGTAACACCTGCAGCGGTTCAGAAGCTTCTAGATCATTTGCGCGAGGCTGAATCGATCCGCGACACGCGTCAGTCGGAAACCTTGGACATTCTGAGAAATATCCTGATTAACGTGAAAAGTCAGTCCGATCAAGGAAACGCGAACGACAGGAAATTATTCTTTCAAAACGTTTCCGATTCCTTGGCTTGTAGCAACGCTCCGCCAAATGCAATCGACGGGTCTCGAGAACAAAGCGTGCAACAGACGCCAGTAAAAGTTGACAGTGAAGTCGAGCGAAATTTTACCAAAAATTCCTATGAACTTAAAGGTCTCGGCGAGCACTCCTCCGACTTATCTGAATGTCGTGAAACGAGAGAAAGCGTTCGCTCTACGGCTCGTTGCGAGTCTATGCAACATTTTGCGAATAGCAAGGACACGGGTCAGACAGAAAACGCGGATGTTATGAGGACTCTTTCGATTGATTTTGAAAATCAAACGGACAAAGATGTCAATAATCCGAAAAAGGAGGAGACATTTCCTCGGAACGTCACTGGTTCCTTGATTTGGACGAACGCTATGTCGAATACAAATGAGGAGATAATTTTGCGAACAGAAAATAATACGAATGATATTGGACAAGTTACTGGGAAATTTAACGATTCCAAAAATCCTGATAAATATCTCTCTCCCGCAATTCCGGAATCGAGAGAAAGTGTTCATTCCGCAGCTCATTTCGAGACTGCTAAAAATTCGAAGAATAACAGCAAAAATAACAAGAAGAATAACAGCAATGGAAACTCGTGTTCGGAAGCAGAGTCGTTAAAACAGATCTCCGATATCCGTAGCGACGACAATGAAAATCCCGAGGAGAATTCCGAGCATTTGTCTACGAAGATTGCATCTGCAAGATCGAAAGGGGGAAGCGAAATGGAAACTGTTGATTTAGTTACCGGAATCTCAGTATTTAAAAATAAAGATGATATAATTATCGAAAAGCTTGAAAACGGTAAATCGAAGGAGGTTACGCAGATTGATAAAAATCAACGTGCAAATGAAATTGTCACGCAAACCGATCAGATTGAAGCGCGTTCAAATATTTCGGAAGAAGCTGTAAAAGAAATTACAAACGGAAAAACGCAAGTCAGTACCATGCCGGCAGGCAAAAGAGTATTGTTCACATTTGCAGAAGTTTCGGAGACAAAAAACGAGCGAGTTTGTTTGGATGTAAGTCCTGCCAAATCGAAGTTGATTGATGAAGATGTGACGAAAGAAGACATTGGTCTCATACATTTGTCGGCGAAGGAAAACACTGGATCTTTACGTGAAGCGAAAATTGATCCTCAACAAGAGATGGTTAAGCAAAAGAATTCTGCGGATAATAATTGCTCAGCCGAATCTCCACGAGAGTGTACTTTGCCAAAAAGTAGCGAGTCATCTTCGCGAGAAGTCGCGTCTTGTAACAAGCAAATTTCCTTTGATATTGCTGGAAAGGATAATTCGACAAGAGATATGAGAAACGAGGAAGCTTGTAAATTGATGACGTTCGCAGTGGTTGAAAACCGCAGAGACGGAAATGAGACCTCAAAGCCTCAGAAAACTGCGACAAGCGATAACGAGCGGCAGCCAATTGATTTGACAGGCATATCACGGAAGTATAAGATAGATGTCTTGTCTAGCTCTAATTCTAGTGTCAGCAGTACGTTGCTGGACCACGACGATAGGTGAATATAAGGATGTTATATTGTTAATCTTCCTGAGCTGGAAACTTGGATTATTCTCATTAAATTATATTTATTGCTAGTTTTCATTCTTTTTTTATATAAGTTATGCTATTTTGGTTTGTTAAAATGTATTAACGAAATTCTTTTAATTAACATAAATTAAATGGGACTTAGATATTAAAAAAAAATTGATTGAATTAATTTGAAATATGAAGATATATAGTAATAAAACTAGTGAAATATGAACGATTCATATTTTGGTGGAATTATTTAATCTTTTCATTGCAATATTTGATTCGTAGGTCGACTAATGGTGCGTTGAGTGCAGACGCGAGAAGAGTAAGTGAGAAGTTTTTAATTATTCTAGAACAAAAAAAGAGATAGAAACGTGCGAAATATACAATGAGAAATTTTTGTAATAATACACTGAAAGAAATGATTAGCTGCTGCAGCAAATTAGATGGTAAAATATGGCATAGCATAATTGGTTGCAACCAATTAAAAACTCTATGTCGTATTCAGCCAATTTGTTCTTTCAGTGCATTAAACCGAAATAGAAATGAAAGAAACAGATACAATGAAATTTCTGGCATTCTTTCCCTTTATCCTTTTTTATTATGATAATGTCATAAATTATTTATGCTGTAAACGACGTTATAAATTAACATAGTACTGCGACCAAACATTATCGCATTAATCGAACTGTACAAAACAATATAATTCTGTTGTAATTGAATTTTATTGTGCAATAAAATCCAATGTTTGATAATAATTTAAATTTCGCAATAAGAAAGAATTCTTGATTAGAAGATATTGTATCGGTAAATTAACTTGATTCTCGGTTTCAGGTCGGGACTACCTCTGAGACCTCTCATTCTGAGGGAGAACTGTACATGCCGAGCTCGTGCTCGTATTCCCTCGGCGAGGTGCGCGTCTTGAGGAGGAAACACGATTTGATCGAGGATAATGCGATGGATCGTGATAGTAGTATGACGGTTCTCGTCACCAAGAGTATGCTAACATCCTTGAACGATTCCACGATGGTGAGTGTACCAAAAAGACACAAGGAGGAAGTTGTTAATACGGACCTTACATAATCAATAATACTGTCAACATCAATAAATACTAACAATATTATTGATCGTGTCTGGTTAATATTGATGTATTGGTATAGAACACTCTCTCCTCTCTCTCTCTCTCTCTCTGCTGGTTTTTCATTTTTAAGTATCAGTATTACAGCGATGATGTTCGAGAATCGAGAAATCCGAAACTGTCAATAATATCATTACTTTACTTAAAAAATGATTTAACTCAAAGATGTGATTTTGGAGTTATTACCATGAATAAGTTAGGTAAAGATTGCGCTATCAATTGTCAAGAGAGTAAACTAATTTAATTTTAGTCCATCTGCCAAATAGTACTTGTGTTGTTTTTTAAGATATTTAAAGAGATCATAATACTTTCTACAAATGCAACATAGGAGTTACGTCGTTTTTATAAGTAAAAAAAAGGAGAGTCTTCTAAAGAGAACACTTGGAATTAAAATATATTTTATGGATCGAAGTTTGAAGAAGAAATTATTTTATTTTGAATTAGTCATTTTAGCTGATTAAGATAAATATAAACTATTGGTGATATTTCGAGTTGCCATTTTTGATGAATTTTTTAGGATTTGTTATAATTTTGTAGAATATCAAAATCGTCACTCAAAAAAGGTGACATATTTAAGGATTGCGAAAAATTTGAAAACATTTGATCATATTTCTAAAAGTATTTTTTTACCAATATTATTTCATTAGTCAATATATAATTGTCTGTTATGTTGAAACAGCGCTTTCCACTTTCCTGAAAAATTTCCCAACAAATACCAAGAGCTGAAATATTATCAATAATATCGATCATGTAAGGTTACACAAATATTGATGCGTACTATCAGTGTTACTGATTCAATATTACTAAACATTATTATTGATTGTGTAAAGGTTTATATAATGTTCTATAAACTCTCATTTCTCTTGCAGTCTCTGCTGGGAAGCTCTGAACGTATTTAGAACGAGCCGTAGATTCTTCAGCGCGACGCGTGACACTTCGACTTATCAGAGATGACATTCTTTTCAATGATTTTTATTTATGTTGCGATAACGAGCTGTGCTATCGATTGCTACAGGACATTTTAAATATTGCTGCAACGTTCTTGCGATATTTTCTTGCGTTAGAAAATTTTATGTCGCATAGCTTGTAATATATATTTCTATATTGTTAAAATTGCTACAATATTGCTACAATATTGCTATTCTATGTTGTATAAGAAATATTCTTTCATCATGTGACTTTTATTATCAAAAAGACTTAATTGAAGTTACGTATAGAAGTAGACATATTTTGTTTAATTCTTCGTCGGTAATTGAACCTTAAAAACACAGTCAATTTTTAATAATTGTTAAAATTCTGATAAACAAATATAAATCACATTAAAAAATAAGTAAAATATAATCAAAAATTTCTACGATATTAAAAACTTGTAGCTAAAGTTTTCACAAGTCTGTAAGAATTTTTTCAGAGTTTTACACAATTCGGAACAATATAAAAATCTGCGCTGAAGTTTAAAGACTCAGATTGTAGACGAAGAGTAAAAATTTCGTATTTCCGACGGAGGGTAAATTACAAAAACAAATAGGGAAAAAAACGTTCAGTATACAGTTGTAATTTCTAAAGTTAGGGATTAATAAGAACAGTGTAAAACAGTCATATCAAATATAAAAAAATATACAAGATATATACAAATATAATATACAAGAAGCAAAAACGACCCTTTTTGCTTCGACGTTGAATAACTCGGTGAAAAAAATCGTACAAAGCTTCATAAAAAACTAAATTGAAGGTAAAGATTCACTCTTTTGAAAGCTGTAAACCGTATTCGTGTACAATTTTTACTTGGCTCCGTGGAACGTCGCAAATTTCGTAAAAAATGTTGAAATCTGATGCATCTTTATTTATGTTTGTGTAACTTTATGAAATATGAGTAATACGGTTTTTTAATGTACAGGTTTGGAAAGTAGAGATTTCAAGTTTTAAAATGCTTTTTTAAAAATCTCGATACGATGATTTTTGATGAAGTTATTCTATCTCGAAATTTGCCTATTTTTGCAGGGTGGAACAAGTGATCCTTTAATTTTGTTGAGTAGTATATATATATATGTAAAATATATAAAAATGTATTTGCAGATAGAATCAAGTGTTATCTCTATTAACCCTGCATTTGTCGCACTTTACACTTAAATTTTTCACGATAACACCGTAGGAAAAATTGCGGCGTTCTCGTAACGATCACGTAAGCCAACGTACTTGAACGACCTAGAGAATAACATTCGAGTAACAAGTGTTAAAACTTCTACATTCCTCAAATATCGCGGTCGTAAAACCGATGATACCGGCTACAGTCGAAAGTCGAAAACCGTCAACCGATCGGAGGAGCGCGTGTTTACTCGGCGATCACGCACGTCCGATAAGAGGTACACTTCCGGCGGCATGTGCAGTGCAGTGTGCGAAAGGTAAACAATAGGATCGGCGACGTCGGCGACGTGCGACGAGAGACGAGCAGGGGAGACGGTCGAGCAACCGAAACGACGGAGATTTGGATTCTTCGGCGAAGAGGTTAGGTGTCTTCTTGACGACGGCTATCGAGGGACAATCGTGGAAATACGGCGAGTCTCAACGGCGGTAAAACCTAACCTCGTTTCACCGCCACGCTGCCCAAGTATGAGCCAGACCTCGCGGAGAATCGTCGGAACGGTGCCGCGAGGATGAAAGCTGCCGACCGTCTCGTTGCAGGGACGTACAAACACGAGGGACGAGTGCCGTCGATCGAACGCCGATCCGCACGTGGTCGGTGATCGGTGTCAGCGCGGCATGGCCAGCACGAGCGAGGAAAGAAGAATGTGCGACAAGTGTGTCATCGGTTACTGGGTGCCCGAGAGAAAACGGCAGAAGTTCAACTGGACCGATTTCGAGAACATATGCGAGTCCGAGGGATTCCGGTTGAAAATGGTGAGCGAATACCCGCCTCTGACGTGCGATATGGATGGGCAGAAATATTTCTAGAAAACGTTTCGAGACGCGAGGCATTTCCTGTGCTTTGAAAAATGTTATGAAAAATAAGTGATAATACGCTGGTTTTTACATGTAAATATAATTTTCTTTAACCATAATAAGTTAATAATCAAGCTCGTGTACAACAAATATAAAAGTTTTAAAAAAGGTCAAGGAAGCAAGCAATCAAAATTAAAAAAAAAATTTAATGTGAAATTTATTATAATATTATTCTTGGAGATATCATAAAAAATGTATGTATTGACATCAAAAAGATTCTAGTACGTTTCGACAATACAGTGTTTTCTTTAGCTGAGATTATTAAGTGAGAATGCAGTAATTATCACTGGTATACAGCAATTAAAGTAATTTTCTTTAATTTATGTTGCAAAAAAAGGATGTATATATATTTTTCCTGTTTTTTTCAGCTTCTTGCGCAGTTCATCTTTTTTCTTTTTCTATCTACTTAGAGAAAAAAAAAGAAAAAATGAATGATGCAACAAGTTCACCTAAAAAGAATCTTTTATTTTTTTTATTGTAATTGTAAGGTGCAATACTTTTTTTTTCTAGAAAAACATTTAATTTTAGCACAGATGGAATAAAATTATGTAACACATATACATAGTCTCGACATTTCTTATTCTCGTTTTTAAGTGGTGCAGCATAACAAACTACCTCATAATTTCACAACGTTTGTCGCGTCTATTTGCAAAGTTTATCAGAAGCAGCTTAATTTTTTCAAATTTTGTTTTCCACAATAGATACCCGAGGATCTTTGCTCCATCATAACAAAGTATGAGTCAAATCAGTTGAATAAGAGGATCAAAGGTCAATTAGATTTTCAATAACGTGGCAATCAAACGGCTTAACTTTTTCAAATTTTAGTTTTTTGCTGCACAACTTTATTGCAATAATTTATTATTTACAAATGTCTATATATGTGACGTATAGATGTAGATGAGTGTCCACAGTATTTTTAACTTGGATCCTTGGATTTGTGTTAGGTCGAAATGACTGTGCAGATCACTCATCCATGTGAGATTTTTAATATATATGTCAGGTTTCTCTCTCCTATTCCATTATTTTTGTCAGTATTATTTTTGCAAGTGCAATATTTGTAATATTTTTAAATTTTCCATCTATTTTAGATCGATGTGAATTTAAGCTTCGAGAATCAGGGACCATTGCACGTTTTCTTACACAAGCTGACAGATATGCAGTCACACGCAGAGAGTGGTGATAAAAATGTATGAAGATGTTCAAAACAATATTTATTCTATTTGGATTGTCAATGAGTCTATAACGTATCTTTTATAGGCTGAAGATATTGTTTCGCGACTTCAGGAATACATTGCCAAACATCCAGATCTGATCATTATCGATCCTCTGGACAATATTAGGAACTTGAGTAATCGATGTAAATCTTACGAATTTATACAAGAAGGCATTCGGTTTAAAGGTATGTATTTATAATTTGTACATAAATATAACTGCAAAACAACTGAATTATATGTTTGACATTGCTTTATTTTTTTCAGATGTATTTACTCCTAACTTTGTAGAAATCAAGAGCAGAAATGTCCATGAAATAGCATCAACGTTGAAAAAACGTGGTATTAAATATCCATTTGTTTGTAAGCCGCTTCTTGCATATGGCTCAAGCGACGCGCATAAGGTAGGCATGAGATGTGAAAATGTCTGAAGCAAGAAAATCACGAGTTTGATATAAAAATAATTTTTTACTTTCTAATTTCAGATGATGATTATCTTTAATGAAAGGGACTTGAAAGACTGTCAACTACCTTGTGTCGCTCAGGATTTCATTAATCATAACGCTATTTTATATAAATTATTTGTTGTGGGCGATCGTTTTCACGTGACCGAGCGCCCTAGCTTTAAAAATTTTTACGAAGAAGACTGTAATTCGTTGAGTACAATATTCTTCGACTCGCACGATATATCGAAAAGCTGTAGTAGATCTAAATGGTCTATATTGTCCGAAGAAGACATTCCTTTAACTGTGAAACCAAATTATCAAATATTCGAAACAATCGTTAAGAATATTCGAGAGATATTTGGTCTTATTCTAGTTGGAATAGATGTTGTAATTGAAAATCATACTGGGAAGTACGCGATAATAGATGTTAATGTGTTTCCTGGATACGACGGCTATCCGAATTTTTTTGAACATTTAATAGATAGTATCAAAAAGTTGTTAGTAGAGCGAGAAAGTTTCAGGCAAATCTCCAAGGGTTGTACATTGAAAAAGTGTCAGAGCGATGATCTAGACTCTGGCTTCGAGAGTGACGAGAAGAAGAAATATTCTACAAAATGAATATGTAACATGTGATGGATAATGTTAATTTTAGAATAAGCTATATTAGTATTAATCGCGGCGGTAGTATCAGTATCGGCATTATTTTGTATTCGTCTATACATTTTTTAAACAAAATTCGGCTCTCTTATGGTTTAATACGGTTTAATTCTGCCAGGTATAATAATTTTTTGATATTAAGTTTTGTATTGCGATTTTTAAATCACGCTTGACATATCGCTTATTTCGTAGACATGAAATATGAGAATTTGAATTATTCGCGAATTCGAGTCCTATATTTTGTAACAAATCCAACACAGTACAACATGACTACGACTGCCAGAGAAAATATTTTGTACATTTTATGTGTATACAATTTTGCATTTCTGCAACGAGATGTTATAAATGCCTGTGAGTTGTTGAAGATATTAGGTACATATGTATATAAAATGAGAAGTATGCGGCGCGATATAGAATATACGAATATAGAAACAATTAAAATGATTGCGACTGAGTAGAATACCTCCAATGTTTAAGTGTAATTAAATTAATGGTTATTATTTCTTAATCGATAAGAGAATAAGAACACGACCGATATATCACATAAGTATATAAAGATCCAAATACGCCAAATACGATCGAATAGAACTAAATATTGAAATAATAATTCTATATAAATTGCTAAATACATTAATTTCAGTCAGACTGTGCGCCGCGTACTGTCAGCCGTATAACGTAATCATTTAATTGAAATAATCT